CTACGAAGAAGACAAGGCTACTGATAAAATACGTTGAGTTCTGTTGGATGTGTTGTAGTATTCTGCTATCGACCGGTTGAGTTTTGGACTATTTAGACGGCACTCATTTCCGCTACATTAAATTAAAAAAAAAATACAGCAATGATGTCGAATCAGATTCGATCGGGAATAAGGAGTTTTGGATCAAAATTATATATTTAGGCATTTAATAGGAAAATTGACCTTTGCTTGTAAGAAGTGCAGTATTCGTTCAATTTAAAATAAGAAAGTTCAATTAAAGAAAGTGAATTTTTGGTGATTGCTACTCTCATGTTTTGTTCTGGGCGCTTGGCGAATGAGCAAACAATATATCCCTATTTAATACATAGACTAAGGAAAGTACCCCACAGGCAACAGCTATGCCGCCTTGGCCGATAGAAATATGAATTTCACACATTGTCGATTCTATTCAATCTTGTTTAAATTCGAAATTCTACGCGAACAATACATTTGGCTAGCTTCATTTCTGGCTTCAACCTGTTTTTTCTTTTTGTTGTTGTGGTTGTTGCTGTAGTTTTGTTTTCGTTGTTTCATTTATTCGTTTTAATATTTCAAACTTCGCAACTTTCTCGCTGCAGGATACGCGGCTAGTGTTTATGCCATTACACTCTTTTCTTCACAATTTTTAGTTTTGGGCCAGACGCATGCTCGAGGGCAGTGCTTGTCTTTGGAGGCCTGGGTATCGACTATACTCAATTAGCCGATCAATCCACGAGCGTGCTTACTTCTAACATGAATGCTGTTACATTACTTGCTGCCTACTGTGTTGTGGATAGTGAGTAGCCTAGCAGTGTGGGATGTAGCAAAATGACGGCGGCTTTTTTTTTTGTCTTAGAAGTGTCTTAAGTGGATTGAGATAATTAAAAGTTTTGATTGCGCCCTCATCAACTATCACGTGAAATAGATGTTTCGAGCCCGTAATCCCATCATTAACTAGTCCGGTTGAGCAACAGGCACCAAAACTGCCCCAATTTGGGACTAAGATGTTTTTTGCAAGGAATCGAAAAATGCTATCACTGGAATTTTGCTGGAATTTTTGGTCAATGCGGTGCTAATATCACATTATGTACATCGGTGTGACACGCAAACTATTTAATTGTGATAACCTCAAACTAGCATAAGTTACTATTTTTCCGGCACGGAGCAGAGGGCTGGGGGCGGGCTCGAGGTGCGCGGCGTTCAGCGGGATTAGGATTTGAAAAAGTTGCCGTTAGCAGGGTGAGACATTCTTTGGCCAGCCTTCAACGTGTGCAGTTGTAAAGTTCGTTTTTCCTTTCCTTGGTTATGCACGAACATTACTTTCCGATTGTTATTTTCCTTTAGTGCTGCCATTTTAGTACATCACTCTAATTTACTTCATTTGTGTACTACGTTTAATTACGATACCCTAAAACCCCAAGGGTGGCACCACTGCCTTGGTCGGGGGCACAAGTTCCCTTATTTTTTCCATCTCCCGATTTTTCGGGGTTTTCGTCCAACGCGGCCAATTTAATCACGATTTGCAAAATCATAAAAAAGCACTTGGGTAAAGATATACACGACATTAGTTAAAATACACAACAATGCAAACGAATACGAAAGTCTGCCCGACGTTTTCAGTTTGACATCAACACTCACACATGCGTTGTATTTATAAGGTTGTCACTCATGAAAAGCAATAAGCAAGACAACAACATGTCTCGACGTAGTTTAGGTACAAGTTATCTATTGGAATACGTTTTGCAAAGTAGTTGTAATCATTTCAAAACAACCGTGAACCTTGTGCTGGCACTTCAACCTCGTTTGGAGGGGGAAACGATAATACCCTGGGAATGAGGCTCCTTGGCTGAAGCTTTGCGCGACGGCGAAGATAAACAAAACCCTAATTATACAGTCGAGGAATAGCAGTTGTCGACATCTCGAACGTAAATCGGGTCATCAAAGTAGTCAGGTTTATTCAGGTTAGTGGCTTCTTGTTCCAAAGAACATATTGTAAATTTACAGTAGGTGCTCAGGAAGAGTTATTAGTGAGTTTTCTTCATTGGGCTGCGCGCCTCTCCTGTATGCGGAATTATTATTCCAAGTTACAGAAGCTGAAGATTTAGACTTCGTAATTTGCCTTAAGGTTACTTCAAACCTTCGCGGGTGTCCTCCAGAAAAAAAATTCGTACGCACGCTGTTTTTTTTAGGAAACCCCCACAAACTATATATCAACAGAAAGGTTATAAAATGTAGAATTCGATAAAATTATGTTTTGTTTTGGATTTTGCTTTCCAAAGGCGGCAGAGGCCGTCAACTCCAAAATGACCGAATGACGTTCCAGCTAATTAATCGGGTACCAAATGCGGTCGTTCATGCAAAATAACTGTGCAGTGTTTATCACAAAGCCTCAATCTCCATTAACATGTCAGCATTTTCTTTTATTTTTATTGGTTATCTTTTTATAGATCTGTCAAGTTCGACTATCGAAAAATTCGCGTAACCTGCTGCGTTAAAGGCCGCCACGAGGAAAATATTTAAAATAAACGAATTCGCGGACACGCTTTTGTTCCATAATATCAGTGAATGTTCTGACCAAATTTCATGGAAAACCGTCAAATCTGCATACCGTGTTAATTTATTTAAAGAGAACGGATTCTCTCGAAAAACAAGTGCGAGTTTTCGCCTTCTAAAGATTTATAAACATATCGCGCCTTCACAGAGCAATGTGTCAACTTGAAAAGCCGCGAGCCAATGAAATAACAGAACCCCTAGCGTTCGCATTATGCAAACTTGAGCTTCGCGGACTTTAATTTTCTTGACCAAAAAAAGTCGACCAATGTAGCCCCGCGAAGGTTTGAAGTAACCTTTATTGTACATCCTTTGGAATAGTGTACGGTGGCGATAAGATATATCCAGCAAGTTATAATTCGAACTCGAACGGCAGCTAGCAACGAGACAGATCTCGACGGTAGGGAATTTGTGTTTTGAGCGAGAGCAGATGTCTTAACCAGTGAGTGAGTTCATTCTCGCAATTAATTAATTATTCGTGAATTACCCGTCAGTCTGAAGTTATTATAGAAATACCACGGAATAACTCATTTAATTCTTCTTGGAGTATTAGATCTTTGTTTTGAAATTTCAAGCGATTCCGAGTTCTATTTCGAGCTTGGGCAAATCTCGATGTCTCGACTTAGAAAATGTCGTTGCGTGACATTGTTAATACTGAGACCTATGACGGCGGAGTTTGATTGGCTGTCTGTAGATCGTGTTCACTGTCACGCGATAAAAAAATGAATCGAAAACCATCCAGTTATATAGCCGGAATAGCCTATGTGGCAAGCGTTTCCGCGGGGTTGGAGAACAAAGAGGAACGGGATTTTCGGTGTTTTGCCCGCGCGAAAAATGGGGCGAGAGCCAAAAAACAGTTTTTTTCTTCAGGCTTCTATGACCCTGAAGATACTTTGTCTTTGCGCAAACTGAAGCATCGCGCTCGGAGATCAAAATTTGAACAAGTGCAGCGTAAACGGCTATTAAACTCCCGGTTAATACTACCCATGTCGACATTTACGAAATTGTTCCTTCTCAGCCGTTGTTATTTAAAATAAAATAAAATAAAATATGGCGATGTTCATGAAAAATTCAATTTCTTGGAAATACCAGACTTAAGACCCTTAAGGACTTGTCAAAAACATTCTGAAACGATCTTGCCGAATTTCCGTCTAGATAAGTGTGAAATTTAAGGAAAGTATACAGTGGTATAAGTTTTTTCTCGTCGCAACGGCCATAGCAACGACTGTTTACTATAACCAAAAATATAGTTGATTAACACATATGAAGGAAACTATTTAGAAAAAACTTTAAAGACATGCACAACTCGATTGGTATAATTAGTTGTGAAAAGCTTTGCCTCCAATTGCCATCACAGGCTCATCCACTTCCCTTATGAAAAGGAATATTTCCCACAACTGTGGTAAATTTTTACAAAATAGAACAACCATTACACCCCCTCCCCCGAGATCCAATCTGCGCCCCCTGCTATTTGTGGCTTGTTAAATGCTTAATATTT